AGAGAGACTTGAGCATATTTTAAAATACAAGAGTCATTGGCCGGAATTTCCCAGAAGCCAGTCAGTCCTGAAATGCCTTCCTCATCTCTCCCATGGGATCATGGGACCCATATGCATACAGCACTTTTGGTGCTATTCCTTGCCACCTCAGAGTCCCTGTGGTGAGTAAACAGATGAGAACCCCCCCCACTCTAACTCCTGACAAACAGGATGTTGCATTATTCTTTTAGAGATATTCTTAACAATCTTTTTTTACTTCGGAGAGGATCAATTATTTTAAAGCATTATTTCTGTTGTTAGTCATTCAGATTTTCCATGAGGATGAAAACAAGTTTGCTTTTATTCCTGCATGACCTTATGTTTCATGCCTCCAAGAGAGGGAATTCACAGTCAACATATATTCCAGGTCATAGTCGAAGATTAGAAATCAAAGAATCTATTTTCATTCCAGATCCTTATGGAGGTTAACCTTCCCTGTCAAAACCCCAATTAGAAAACTATTTTTGAGTTAGGAAAATGAAAACGTGTTTCTCATCAGCATATTATCTCTCCTCTGATCTTTTTGTCAATTTTAAGACATTTTTTCTTCATCTATCTCCTAACTAGGCATAGCAATTAGCCCTCAATAATGATTTGAAATGTGCTAAATTTCAGGCTTTCAGAGACTTAGAGTTTAATTCTAATAATCAATTGGCAAAAAATCTACCTTCTTAATGTTAACCTTTTCTATATACTCAAATTGCTGACCCATTTTGTCTTAGGAACTTTAATATTAAAAAAAGAACAAAAATCCTTTCTTATGCTACTTCAGGCATAGACAGTTTACCCCCTAAAGCTTTCCTCACCAGCTTGCTCCTTCCTATTTGTTAGGAAGAGGAATAATATGTTTCTTCCCTGGCTTTTTCAAAGGCTCTAAGCCCCTCACAGAGGAGAAGAAAGAGGGAGAGAGAGATTGATGGCACTCAAAGACAGTAATTGCTTTGTTTGGAAGTCTCAAAATGAATTTTCCATTATCTTCTCAGTGTTTCCTACCCACTATATTTACCATGCACACTTTAACTTTACTCTTTCCAAACTCCCAGGGCTGAATTTGAGCATAAGACAGGAGCAGCACTTACCCAGGCTATTGAGGATGCAGGTCAGTGAATAGAGTCACGATTAGGTGGAAATGCCTAGTGCCTGCCTCTCTCCTCAATCTGGACATTGCCTTGCTGCATCCAGACACACTGGACAGGCTCTACCAGCTTGTATCTGGGCCCTGGCCCTCTTCCTTGGAACAGCCTTGCTTCTTCAAAAGAAATTCCTTTGAAATACCTTTCTTGTAGTGTGATTCACATGATGCCTCTATGCAATCTATCACAGATGCTGGCATACTCGCTTCCAAGTATGAACTGGGTGTCATGCTGTGCAGAACGCAGAGCTGAAGATGGTGAAGAGACCCTATCTTCAGCTCACAAGGTGTGGTGATGTTGACTTTGGTAATAAAAACCACTTTCCTGGATAGCTAGTAAATTGCCACCACAGGAGATGATATTATTTGGGAACCTTACTAACAAGCTTGAATTCCAACATAAGGCAGTTCATTGTTATGCTGCAGAATGTGAAATCTTAATGTTTTTGCTATTCAGACTCATTTCACAACATGATTTACTGCAGCAGAAGGGAACAAAAAAAGGGAGGTGGGAAAGAAAAGACAGTTGGGAGTGAAAACATGGATGAGCCCAGCTTTGTGAGCACATTTCATTGCCACTGATAATGTAATATTTTGCTTTGATTAACGCTCTTTCTTGCTGAGTATGTGCAACATCCCAATAACTGTTTCTTTAGCCCAGTCACTGACGCTTTTCTGGATTCCACTTTCAAAACAGGCATTGTGCTGTGCGCAAATCTACGTAGAAAAGAAGGAGGAAACCAACACACAAGAGGTGTGCTTCTGTCCAAAGACATGCTGAACATGTTTGCCTTGCCAGATTCATTTTCTCCTGTCAGAAATTTCCAGAGAGATGGTGGAGAAATTGGTGTTTGACCAGACAGTTGGGCAATCAACAATAGAAACTAATTGTCAGAATTCTGCTAATGATGTCGATGCTGATACTTGCTGACAAGACATAAGTTTTTGGTACTACTATCAGGTATTCTCTTTAGGAAGAATAAATTAAAAGAGCTAATTAGGCAAATGCTTCTAGGAAATATTGACTCACTTCAGGAGGACACTATTTTAAGTACAGCTTAATGTGGGTACAGATAGTCCACCATTTACCAGGAGTCTGGCATGACTGTTCATAGCATCTACATAAAATAAAAATTGGACTTAAAAAGTCATTCTGTGGTCATTACACTGAGAGTGTTTTTACCTGTAAAGTACTGGGTTTTTGGGATGACTCTGAATTTTTTTAGAAAGTCCAAAGCGTCACAATAGAAATTTTTTATGTTAAATAATGTGCTGAGAACTATTGTCTTCCTTAACATTGTCAGAATTTTGCATTTAGCCTGCAGTCAGGTTTAGTATGTGGGTTTCTCCACATAAGTTTCAAATGCCTATTTTATTGTGTGTATACAGATGAGCTTGGGGAAAAAAAACTTCTGGTAGGGTAGATAGCATTTCCAGAAGCTTCCACGATATGGTCATGAAATGAGTCTTGGTTAACTCTGAAGACAAAGAAAAAACTTTACTTGAGATGATTGTTTTCCAGGTTTTGTACAAAATAAAAGGCAAGTTTTCTGGATGTTGTCTTTATATGACTTTTACTTTAAACCTTGACTTGATTTGTAAAATAATGTCTATCTACCCACTACGATGGCAGGAACGGGGCATCAGAGACCCGTGTTTCTTAAGAGGCAAATATATACAGAAATCATATCTTTCCCAACTGCTTCATTGTGAATAGAAACAGCTTTGGATGTATCAACCTCTGCATCTGGATTCTCCTGAAAGATTAACTAGAAAATTGCCCTTCCCACTTCACTTTTGTGTCTCTAGATGTGACAAAGAAAACTCACTTATGCCTTATTTGTCACTTCAGACAGTTGACAGTCACTTTGCCCATGTCAAATTATTTCAGTATCTCTCTACTTGTGCAAACTGAATCAAGAAGGCATTTCGGAAGGTGGTAAAAGACCTCTAATCTTGAACAGGGCCATTCTGTGACTGATATCCATCCTCCTGAACGACCTACATTGTCTGTGTGTTGTAGCTTTACTCTTCACATTAAGATGTAACTGTTCAGGAAGCGCTGTGCTATAATTTGATTTCCACAGATAATCAGAATAGATAAATCCTTTCTATTGGCTGGTAAGTGTTCATTATGTACTTTGTCAGGGTTATGGAATGATATGGCGTAACACAATTAAAAATGAAATGTAATATATGTACAATGAAGAAAGAAATAGCAAAAACAAATGTTACTGTGTTTGGCACAAACATTGTATACAGGTTATTCCTAAAATGCAGCTTTGCATTTAGAAATAAAAACATTGGTCAAGTATTTTATTTGAATAATGAGGAATCTTAGCAAATTAATGATATACTGCATTCCAATAGGATTTCTATAATGAGCAGCCTTTGTAGTACATCACCTTGTAGCTTTCTTTTGAACAGTAGGATCAAAGCTAGTGTGTTATTTGTCCCCGGTGAATGTAGTAGAAATAGAACCTGTGATACAAATGTGAATAACTCAACAGGCATCCCATCTGTTACAAAATCCCTTTGTTTCTTGTCCACTTCTTAGAAGTCTGCCACAGACCCTTCAACTTCTAGTGAGCAGCAGAGCACTTTGCTGTGATTACAGTAGTTTAACAGCGATGTAGTAGAGGGTATCTTTTTGTGTTTATTCCACTCCTTCTGGGCTTGAACAAAAGCATCCGACTGTGCTAGTGAGCAGAGAGTGCTGCTTTCAGAGGGGGAGGAGCCTGCGAAGTTACAGTGGTCAGGAAGACAATGGCATCAAGGGACCTCTGCTGTTGCCAGCAGCTTCACCTGCAGTGTTGGCAATCTCAGGTCTGCTGTGGGTTTCACAGTAAGTAACAGCATCAGGGCAAAATAGAGGAAGTGGCTGAGACTTGGGCTGCAATCGTATGACTGAAATAACCTAAAAACAACCAGGATGTACAAAATCCTTATGATTTTGCTTTGGGTTTGTTATCACAACCATTTTCATGAGACTCACCAGCAAGATTTGAATTGTCCTTTGTGGGCAGCACTTAGTGCAGATTTCTCAGCCCTAATTCCCCAGTAATCACAGGGTGATGTCTGGCCAACACTATGGAGCACCTTAGAGCAAACTCCAGAGAATCCAGCAGAGGAGGGAGACATTTACTTGACTCTCAGCTTTGCCACCTGGTTATTATGAGATTCTGGCCATCAGCCAGACCTGGGTTCAAATCCTAACTCAAACACTTCCTCTTGGGCTAGCTGCTTAATTTTTCTAAGTGTCACTTTTCTCATCTGGTTAATGTAAATCAATGTAAATCCCCCATGGGATTGTTAAGATTAAGTCAAAACATTGTCCAAAGCATTTTGCATAGTGACATACTAAGTGCTCAATAAATGGTAGTTGTTATTATGAGAGGAAAATTATGTTTCCCCTACATCATCTAGGGTAGTAGTATTATTCTAATTTAATACCTTGCTCTAGGAAGCAGTAAATTTTCTTGAGAGGAGCATAAAGGGCAATGTGTTGACCTCTTTTTCCTTTGCTGGGAATCTGAAACCTCTAAGTGGAACAAAAAGTCAAATAGTTTGCAGGGATTCCAAAACACTGGTCCACTGTGTCCCAAACATCTGAAAATTTTCTAAAAAATACATATTTCTGGAACCTGCCCCCAGAGGGTCTAACACAAATTCAGATCAAGGAATGTCCGTTTGTAAGAAGTTTTACTAAGTGGTTCTGACACACAGCCAAGATTGAGAACCATTGGTTGAATGTGTTTGTGATACTGCATGAAGGACATAGGCCATGGTAAGTAAGTTGACACAAACCCAGAAATGGGCCATGGTAAAGATGGCAGACAGTGAATGGGAGACTGGCAAAATTCTGGAAAAGATGGAGCTGGAAGACAGGCAACTAGGCAGCAATCTGCAAGGTAAGTGAGAACGCAGTTAGCTGGCCCATTCAAGGTGCCGGGGATTCTCAAGAGTTGGCAGAGCAGAGTCAGTCAGACCTGTTAGAGGGCTGCTGTAAACTGAGGCACATGAGATAAATTGTGCACATACTTCCTTCAGAAGTAAAGACCCTTATATGATGGCATGTTTAGACCCTTTTATTCAGATCCTTTTATTCACCCCTTTATTAATGCTGGTCTCATCTAGGTCCTAACAGAGAGGGAGAAAAACACCACTGCAGAAGATGAATCATGAGGAAAATCAACAGACTTGCTACATTTTTTGGTTTAGAAGAAAGATTCATTAAGCTTCCTTTATTTACACCTAAGACTATTGACATTCCCCACATTCTCATTCCAATAGTTAGAAATTGCCCCATCAAACTCAGACTTCTCTGCATATCAACACTGTGAATTGCCCTTGGCAATTTTGCAGAGCCAAGTGTTAGGTTCAATAGTATCTATTCAATATTTAGAACTTAGTCATTGAGTGGATCACACAATATTGAGGTGGTGCTTATTTCTTTGTATACTTGAGGCTATTTTTGTGGGGATACTTGTGTTTTCTGCACAGTGTGCAGTCAATAACTTGTGCCAATTGACTGAGGCTAAGACTATTTAGGTCCACCTGATCAACTGCTTTTATAGAATTAATCAGTGGTTTATATACGTGTATGTATATATAACCTGAGAATGAGTCTGTGCTCAAGGCCTGATTTGGCCACTTACTATCTGAGCTTGAACAGCTGAACTACTGGGAAACTCTATTTTATTTAAGTGGCAACATTTAAAGGTACATGAGTTATGAGGCTTAAATTTTCCATTGCAATGGTTTGAGTCAAAATTGTTTAGTATGTGAAGAGACCCCACAGCATCTAATTCTCTCCATCTTTCCCACCACAAACCTAACATACATAAGCCATTATCTCTCACCTGAACTACAAGAGCCACCTAACCGGTTGCTTCACATGTACTTGTGCTCTCTATCCAAATCTGATATGCACATTCCAGGCAAAATCACATTTTCTAAATGCGCATGTGATCACGTCAACTTACTTTTCCTCCTTTCGGACCCTTTAAAAACTTTAAAAGTTTCCTATAGGTAAAAAATCTAAAATTTTAAAAGGTTCCTATAGTTCCCAAAGACAAAATTTCTTACTATGACTTTCAATGTCCAGCAAGATCTGTCCTTTGCCTACCTGCCTCTCAAATGTCATCAGGCACTGCAATTTTCCTCTCTCTGAACATCAGGCATATTTAAGATTTTAGCTCCTGCTAATTGTGGCCATTTAGGGTGCAGAGACAGTTTCATACTCATTCCCAGCACTGGACATTTGCATATACTATCTCTTGTGTCTTTTATTTTTAACAGCTACCATATTTTGTTAATATATGGTTATTCTTATGATAATATGAATTACATTTGTGCTCCCCATTAGAACATAAGTTTCACTAACATGTACATGAAAGCCTTCAGAATCAAGACCCAAAGACACAGAGAAAAAAAAAGAATATAAGTTTCACAAAAGTAGAGATGGTTTTTGTGCCTCTAGGACTTAGCATAGCACCTGGTGCATTATAGACAGTCAATAATACTTGCTAAATGAATAAATGAAGATTTCATACAATCAGCACCCTTTTCCTTGTTCAGCTTCCTCCTCCAACTTCCTGCTACTTCAATACATACCTACATATCCAATTCTCTCAGTCAGGTTAGGCCACACTCGTGGATGGTGTGTCCTCTATGGGCAACACATTCCATGTTCCAGACCTCCCTGCTCCCAAGTGAGAATGTAATTCTGTGTCCTCTTTCCTTAATACGCTAGTCTTGAAGCATCAGAGTAATTCATCAAAATTATTGTTAAACATGGGTGCAAGCTTTCAGAGATTGTGTCTTAAACAGTTCTCTTTTTATAAGAGGATGAGTTATTGTGGGAGGGGAGCAGGGCATGGGATGAGGCTGTGTCACAGAACCTTTCAGAAACTATGAATTCTTCCTCTGTGTGTTTCTAAAACTACACACAAACATACACAATTTTGTATACCCTTTTAGGGTTCATAGAAAAAGGCCTATTCATGGAGATGGGCTATCTGGAGAATTTAAGTGCAGGCTACCAGAAACCTGGCTTTAGATATTGATAATTGTTGAAACTGGGTGATGGACACAGGGAATTCAATGTATTATTATCTCTATTGTGGCATATGTTTGAAATCTTCCATTATAAATAATTTAATGCCAAAATGTCAATCCTATATTTTTATTTTATTTTATTTTTGAGTTGGAGTCTCACTCTGTCACCCAGGCTGGAGTGCAGTGGCATGTTCATGGCCACCGCAGCCTCAACCTGCTGGACTCAGGTGATTCTTCCATCTCAGTCTTCCAAGTAGCTGAAATTGCAGGTGTGCACCACAACACCTGGCTCATTTTTTTATGTATTGTTGTCCAGGCTGGTCTTGAGCCCATGGACTCAGGCAATCCTCTCGCCTCTACCTCCCAAAGTGCTGGGATTATAGGCATGAGCCACCATGCCCAGCTTGTATTTTTATTTTAAAGGAGAAGAAAACAGAAGCATGGCTTTTGTAATGAAATGCTTGACACTTTGAGATTTCCATAAGTGGGAAATTGATTCTCCCATTCACCTAGGTTTAAAATGTTAGCAACAACTTCAAATCTTCCATCTCTTAGCTTCTCTGTTCATCAGTTAACTTGCCAGTTCTACCTCTGCAGCTTTTGTGTGGGTCTCCTCCCCTCCTTTCTATCTAGTACACTGCTCTAGTACTAGACTTCAATACTTCTCACCACATCCACTGCAGAAAATCTCCCAACTTTGGATGCCAAAGATCCCTCTCAAACTTTTCACTGATCCATCGCACTAAAAGTAACCTTTCCTTCTTTTGACACCATGGCACTGATCACAATTTCTCTACAAGTACACTTATTCTCATTCACAAAAGTACGTATGCACATACCTTTATGGTACTTAACTGATCTTAAGTCACAGACCTTTTAAAATTCTGATGAACATTGAAGACTCTTTCCATGTCTTCCTACCCCCAGGAAAATGCATGTAATATCCCATCCATCTTAGTCTGTGCTGCTATAACAAAATACCCAGTGCTAGATTATTTATAAAGATCACAAATTTATTTCTCATAATTCTGAAGGCCGAGAAGTCCAAGATCAAGATGCCAACATTTGGTGTATGATGAGGATCTGCTCTCCACTTCCAAGATGATACCTTGTTGCTGCATCTTCCAGAGAGGAGAAACACTGTGTCCTCACTTGGCAGAAGGGATGGGAAGGGCAAATTCATCCCTCAGGTCTTTTCATAAGGCACTAATCCATTTGTGAGTGTGGAGAGCTCATGGTTGAATTACTTCATATTCCACCACAATGGAAATTAGGTTTCAACATGAATTTTGGAGGAAACACATTCAAACCATAGCATGATCCAAATGCATACATACTTTCGTTTGCAATTCTGGGGGCTTTGTGTATCTTCAAGACAAACATCCCTTGGTTTTCAGAGTGCAGATCACCCTGCCTTCCACCCTGGGTAAGTGCTCTAACTAGAGACATTCCAGTCTCACACAATGCTTTTCCCACAGGCTCAGATAGTGAGTGGTTCCACACCAATGCTCTCTGTCATAGCTCTTATTTTTACATTTCTCCCCCTTGAAGTAAAAATAAAGTATTTATCTAATCTGGATTGGCAGACAATGAATTTTATGATGAGTACAAAGGGAACAAACAAATGAGTCACGAAGAGGCAGTAATAGTCATTCCTCTATTCTCCTCTTCCCCACCACCTTATAACCCCATCTGAAAGTGCTCTCTCCTTTTTTTCTGGGCTGCATTGGACTGATCACTTTTCCCCTTCAATTTAATTTAGGGCATCCATATAAAATTGCCATTAATCTACCATTTTTTACCCATAAAAATTGCAATGTCATATGGTCTAATCTAATATTCATGAATAAAAAACAAATCTCATTGCTGGAGTGTGAGTGTTTGAGGATAGACATGGATGTTCTCCTCTCTGCCAGGCCCTGCATATAGTTGCTGCTCAGAGAATATGTATGGAATAAATGGTGTCTACTCTTTGAGATTTCTCCAAATAAAATAAGACCTTGCATTTCAAGTGTTGTTAGTGAATGAAATTAGAAAAAACGCAGGCTTGACAACACTTGACCCTTTTGGGAGCCTCTTGACTGAAAAGACAGTTTTAAAAAGATTTTATGAAAACACTGACAAAATATGCACCTATCACTTTTAGGTCATATAACAGAGACCCTCCTGGAGAAAGGGAAATGATATTAACTGCTGAGCAAATTGTATGTTTGCTACAGAAATAACTCAACCCTGTATAAATAGAGACAAGAAAGCAAATGTGCCAGCCAAAATTCTTCTGTCCTTTGGACAGATTTCCATATGCTGTAAGAATCTTCTGAAGTAAACTCTTAGCCCCTACTGAGTTAGAGGTATCTTGACTAGTATCTTTACTTTCAAGAAACCATCTACTAAGTAGCAGCAGTTTCCTGAAGAATAGGAATCTTTGTAAACCTAGCAGAGATCTGAACATGGCCACATAAGTATTACCTCAAAATTTTACAAAACACAAAATATATATTTGTTTTTTAGGGAATTTTTTAGGGAGGGGTTAGTTGATTTTGCAAGATTACATATCTTTACTAAGAAATTTATATGTATACCAAATTTGCTTTTTGCACATTGGAGAAAGTGATCTTTGCAAGGAGAGACAGTATTCATTCCTAGAATAAATGGCTTGACCCATTTTTTAAAAATCCAAGATTAAAGTATTTTTTTGTTTCTTCACTGACAAAATGATGAAGAATATTTTTCCTAATTCTACTTTGACAATTTTGGTGTTATAGTTAGAGGAAATTGAATAAAAATACTGATTTAAAAGACCAGAAGTTATACCATACTACTTATTCTTATTTTTTTCTAGATTTATTGA